GCTTCCTCAGTGTTCTCATGCCTCTCTTTCTAGACCCTCCTTCCTCTCTTCATAAAAATACAAAAACAAAACATATTTATCTCCACCTAGTAATCAAACTCCGTGCCATGGGCCACGGGTTTTAATGAGACCTGGTCCCAGTCAGGCTCTCCAAGTTTATTGTCTCATATTATGCCCCCCATTTCCTATAATTCCAGTCACACTCACCTCCATATGCTATCCCTCCAACAAGCTAAGCAGATTTCCACCCCAGGGCCTTTGCATGCCATTTCTTCTGCTTGGGATGCTTGTCCCTGAGATCCTTGTAGGTAGTTCCCTTCTCACCCCTGGGTCTCAGCTCAAGTGTCTCCATCTCAGGGAGGCCTTCTTGACTGCTCACGTGAGGCAGTCTTCCCTGCTCACTCCAGCCCCTGAGTCTCCCGCTGCCCCATTCACTATTTTGCGGGCAGCTGACAGTGTTTGTTTCTGTAGCATCAGCTCTCAGGGATCTGCCCAGGTCTCCTGGGATCCACGATCATTTCTGTGCATAGCTCCAGGAAGGCTTTCTCCCTCAGCAACCAGCTCCAGCCTCGCAGGGCTGCCCTCCGGCCGTGAGGGCCTGCTTCGCCTGGGCACCTAGAGCACCCACAGTGCCTGGGGCTGTCCATCCCCAAGGTTTCACCACTCCTGCCGCTCTGCCCCTGTGGCCCACGCTGTCTGCGGAGCTCCCGATGTGAGACTTGCCTGCCTCTGTACGCTGCCTGGCCTCCTTCCCTCATGGCCCTTCCAGAGGTTTCTGAAACACCTCCTAATAAGTAAGTCACCTTCACCCAGGCTTCATCTTAGAGCTTGCTTCTGGAGACTCTAATCCAAGACAATGAATACCTTCTTAAATTATTTCTGATACCCCAAATAGCATATAATATCTCCAAGAACAGTGCCTGCTATAGTAGCTATTCATTAATATAAATATGTTGCATGTAGATTATCAGAGCTTACACATTATATTTATAATCAGTAAATTTTAATTTATAATTTATATTTATAATCAGACATTTTTAGACATAAACATACATTTTCTTAAAGGTTCCAGGACTTACATATCGATTTACTGTTCCTGCTGTCACTGTGCGTCTGAATGGCAAGTACCAACTTATTGTAGGGCGTTAGCTTATAGGTTTAGTACAATGGCATGTTTTATGCTAAGGATAATGGATGTATGGTAAAAGCAATAGTTGGGTTGGACTTTAAGTGAGTATTTACAATTAAGTTCTGGAAGTCCATTTCTTTCTTGGGATTTCACCTCCCTGGGATATCTGACCAGGATTTTTACAGCTGCCGAGTTCTGAGGTCTCCTAAGTGGGCTGAGTTGGTTTATCTGGGGAGATGTGTTTTGGCCCTTGGGGTTCATCAGGAGAAGAGTGAGGGATGGTTCTGGACCTTATAATTAGGCATGTTTTCTGGGAGGTGGGGAAGTGAATCGTGAAGAGTGCGTTAGGGGAAACACTAGTAGAGTTGTAAGAGGCTTGTAACCTGATCTGGAATATGAAGTTTGTGGATAGTTATTGATTTCCTGGTGGGTGGAATTGCTTTTCTCCCTGTCCCACCGGCTGGAGGAGGGAGGTTGTAAGAAGAAATTGCTATCCATCAGACTGGAGAGGTGTCTGTGGAGGTCTCTGCGAGTCTGGCTGATGGGACCAAGAGGCCTCTGACATGTACAGATGCTCCCCAAGCCCGTGAAGAAAAAGCAGCCGAGCAGAGCTGCACTTAGGCTGCTCAGATCTTGCCCGGGAGAATTTGGAGTTTCAATTACTTGTTTGCCAAAAGGCCTGGGGCGAGGGCAGGGTGATCCTTGACAGCCACAAGTTCCTCACCTTCCCCCAAGAGGGTTGAGCTGAGCTGAATTTTCCTTGCAGTCAATAGGAACTCAGCCGGAGCAGAATGAGTTTCACCTTAGAGCCTGTGAAAATCGAGCAGGAGTGAAGAGTGGATTAACCTGGGGATTAACCGGTGCCGGCGAGGAAGGAAGGGCTGGCTGTGAGCGGAGTGAAATTTCAAGTGCAGGCAGCCAGGGGCAGGCTTAGAAAGGGGGTGACCACACTGAAGATGTGACTGTCTTTAACCTTGCTCCAATAGTACGAGAGGGGCTCCAGAATGCTTCTGGTCTCCTCATTGTGCTGGTGGAACCAGGATGTGCCTGGGGTGCCAGTCTCATCCTCATGGATTTTATGGGTGGTTCTTTTGGTTTCAGCTTCAGGGAGGTGGCTTCTGTGTGTGGACATTGATTCCATGCACAGGCCTCTGCGGACCCTCCCTCAGTTCTGGGCTCATACTGAACCCATACCTCTCAAAATCCTCAAGGGATGATGGTGTACCCCAGCTTCCAGAGACAATATGAATTTAGAATGTGAGGCAGTTACACCTTTTGTTTTCAGCTTCAGGCCACAGTTTTATTTATGGGATGATAAGAGTCTCACTTGTTCTGTTACATAGACAATGACCACAGAGGGTGACAAATGGTGAGGCAGAAGTCAAGTCTGGGCACTACAGGAGCACAGAACAGGGTCACCCAGATCAGAGGTGGGTGTCAGGAATATTGTCCAAGGGGATTTGCATCTCTGTGAAGATCTAGAGCAGCGGTTCCCAACCTGTGGGTCGCGACCCTTTGGCGGTTGAACGACCCTTTCACAGGGGTCGCCTAAGACCATCTTGCATATCAGATATTTACATTGCGATTCATAACAATAGCAACACTACAGTTATGAAGTAGCAACAAAAATAATTTTATGGTTGGGTCACAACATGAGGAACTGTATTTAAAGAGCCAAAAGGTTGAGAACCACTGATCTAGAGGGTAGGAAGCGGTTAGTGAGAAGATGGGTGGGTAAGAGCATTATGGACAAAGAAATAACGTACAAAGGTACAGCAGGAGGACAGACAGGGCTGGGTAGCATGGGAAGAGGGGGCTGGACAGGTAGAAGGGCTTGGTCACAAAGAGCTTACCAAACACCCTCAGGGCAATAGGAGACGCCTGAGAAACTTCAAGGAGGCGCCTTGTGGTCAGGCTACTGTTTGGGGGAAATTTCTGCTCCTGAGACTGAAAGTGGGGAGGCCAGGGTGGGAGACTTGGCACAGGAGATGGAGGTAGATATGACTTCATGGTGGAGTGGATGTTGGGGAGAGCGAGGAGGAATCAAATTTGCTGGTTGACAGTGTGATGGGGATGTCTTCCCCCTGAGAGGGAGCTGAGGAGCAGGAGCAGGCCTGTGCACAGATGGAAAGTTGGGAGGTGTCCCCGGGAGTGTCTCCCTCCTAGGGCTGTGGCCATGGCCACTGGTGCTTTTTAGCCAGATGCATCTCAAGGTGGTTTTCCAAAGTGGACAAAGGATCTCCATTTCATTCTTTCTGTGGGGCTGATATTGGGGAGAAAGAGGTGAGGAAAAGGAGCATCTTATTTGCAGTGTCCCTGGGCTGTGAAATGATTGCAAAAGCGTGTCACATTTCAGGAGAGCTGTGCATTCAGGCGCTAGCACCTTCTACCACAGGACAGAACTTTCTGGAAAGAAAGCAGGGCCCAGGAACACTGCAGCTTCCTCTCTGCAGCCACTTTGACACATGAAAACTCTTTTCTATGAAAACACAGAGCTGAGTAGCTCTGCAGGCTCCTCGGTACCTGGTCTGAATTGCAATTTAGGCTTGTCACTGGCTGGCAGGTCTTCAGCTTGTGTCAGGCACTGGGTCCCAGGCTGGGTTTGCAGGTCTTTCATACTCATTGCCTCTGCCTAGAAAGATTGATCTGAGGCTCTGCAATATTTATCTTTTAAATCATTTGTGTTTGTTTGCTTGACAATCAAGCTGCAATTTAGAGATGCTGTTTCCCGAAGCCTTACAGACTAATAGGATTTCACAGCTCCAATTACAAAGGAGAAAAATCATTTCATCTCCAAACGGAGGAGCCAGACGTTTCTGAGAAATCATGGTTCACAAGAAGACAAAAGTACTTCCGAAAAACAGGCTCCATTATTAATGGCTTCCTCGGCTCAAATCTCACTGACTCTCAGCACCAGGAGGCTTTGTCTTGTTGGGGATGCGGTTTTTGATCTGTAAAGTAGATGACTTTCAGATTGGTAAACCGCGGCAGTGCCCACAGCCACAGTGGTTTGTAAGCAGTGTAAACATGTCCACTGCCTTTCCCCCTGCAAAGATGTCCTGCTTCCTGATACTTCCTCTGAACCGATATTGTCTGGAATCATAGAATATTTGATGGGTTTTAACAATCATTCAGTTCAGCCCTACATCTGATACTTTAAGAACATCTTTTAATATGCTTTCTTATTGATTTCAGAGAGAGGAAGGGAAAGGGAGAGAGAGAGAGAGATAGAAACATCAGTGAGAAATATCGGTTGGCTGCCTCCTGCATGTCCCCTATTGCAACCCGGGCATGTGCAAACCAGCAACCTCCTGGTGCATGGGATGATGCTCAACCAACTGAGCCACAGGCTGGGCTCATCTGATACATTGAATGCCTCTCCATAATCAACTACCTCTGCTTAAACACTTCTAGGATGGAGAGCTCTCTACTAGACTTTTCCATAGGAATTTACTAATTTTGCTCAATTTTAATTAGAATTTAAAGTTTAGTGACTTCCCAAGGAGATCTTTGTTAATATCTAAAAATCTCCAAACTGGCCTATTCTCTGGGATTCATATCTTTGTGATGGAATCAAATGGAGGTATCACAACTAGAATCCCAACAGAATGAACTTTTAAGGAAAAACACACAATCTGGTCTTAATTATTCTCTAGCTCTGTTTTTATGGCCAGTCCGAACAGGTTGGGGGAGGGACCAGAATGGTGAGTGACTTTCTATGGGAATCTTAACCTAATCTTTAACATTAACATTTTTACAAGGAGTCTATATTCTTGAATTAGTTATTTAATGAAAAGTTTTCTAAAAATAACAAGGAAAGGAAAGTAAGCAATGAGGATGCTCAAGCACATCTCCCCTGCCTTCATTCCAGAATGCCGGGACATCCTGCTTCCTGTCATCACCAGAGAGCTGAAGGAGCTGCTCGAGCAGAAGGACGACGGGTCCCAGCAGCAGCTGCAGGAGAAGAGGTTCTGCGTGGAGCTACTCAACAGCATTCTGGAGGTGCTCAGCTCTCAGGATGCGGTGAGTGCTCGCGATGACAGAGATATCCTGGACGCAGACGAGGGCCTAGCTGATGAGGCTCTAAAATGTTTGTGCTGACGAATGGCAATTGAAGTCTAAAGATGAAGGCCAATGGCTTGCTCAGCGGGCCTGCTTCTCCAGGGACTAACCCCCATGACTGTGAAACATGGCCTGGGGATAGGGGTTGAGCGTGTAGCATTCTGTGGGCATATTTTTCATTAGACAGTCTTGTGGTGTAGGTAATACATATTGCAGGCTTTTTAGATGACTGGTCCATTTCCAAAGCCTGGTTTGCAGGGGCAGGAGGGGCAGTTTCCCATGCCTACATGGCCAAGAGAAAAACCTCCTACCGCTTTCTTCGCTGATTGAATCTTATTTCTCTAGTTAGCCCTGCAATGGAGAAAATGGTTAAGAGTCATTCTGGATGAGCAGATTGCTCAGGAGTGATGTCCAGGAGGTGTTTGCCCTGGATGGGCTGGTTTCAGAGGACAGGGTAAAACCAAACAATCAAATAAGTCTTTTCTAAGTGTTAGTGTAAGCTTTCCTCCTCCTCCCTCCCAACCCCCACTCCCAGAAAATTCTCAGAGAAGGACTTTCTGGATGAACTCTATCTGTGATAGACTATAATTAGAAAACTCTGCAGAACAATGCTCCTTCACTGCTCATATCCCATAGTCAACCATTACTATCAATTTCTTTGCGTTTCTCTCTTCTGTGTCATTCTTGCTTTCCTAATTACTAGTAAGCTTCCTCTAATCTCATTACTATGAAAATGCAGCAGTTTTCTTGCTTTCTTCAAGCATTCATTCATTCATTCATTTACTCATTCACTCATTGTATAGTATATGATGCACCAGGTGTGTGCCAGGAATTGGGTATAAAAGGCATGGTCTCTTAAGAAAATCTTTACAGACATATAAGTAAGCAGTTGCAATATAACCTAACAACTAAAATCTACATGCATACTAGGAGTCTGGAGCCACAAAGAGTGTGTGTGTGTGTGTGTGTGTGTGTAAACATTTTTGTCAAGGAAGCCTTCACCAAGATAGTGAAGCTTCAGTTGGGTGTTCAAGGGTGAATAATTACTGATCACAGATGCTATGTTATTTCCTATTTCCTAGGCACTGTGCTGAATGCAATCCATTCCTTCGTTCTGCTCACTTTAACCAGTGCCCAAGATTGTTATCCTCATTTTACAGATGAAAAACCTGAAATTCATAAGCTTAATGTTCAATTATAGACAGCAAATAAATTGCATGGTCAAAATTCAAACCCAAGTTGGTCCAACTCCAAAGTCTGCATAGTGATAGGCATTGGGGATGCAAAAGCTTGATCTTTGTCTCTTCCTTTTCTTTCTATCCTCACCCTTTTCCTTGGGGAGCGAGTGTATAATACCCAAAAACTTGGCTACTCAAGATTCACTCCGTGATGTTATGATAATGGTGGAGTTTTCATATATACACTCATGAGCCAGTTGTTGAACCTGCCCTAGTCTTTGCTATTTGATCTTTACAAAAAACTTTTTAAGGGAGAATTTTGTCTTAACTCTCACAGTGTAGGGACATGAAGGTAGGCCTAATATTTCTCCAGAAACATTCCACAGAATGTTACCTCTTCCTGTTGAAAAGAATTTACAGTGTTCCTTTATTTCAGTAATGCTCACAGCCCTTTTTGTGTGGACTGTGCCAGAGGACCCCAGTTTGAGGAACACACTTTTAATGGGCTAGCTGCCAATTGCCCGATTAGGGGAGGCTGGCCTCAGCTCACAGTTTATTAGTTAAGCCGTGATGCGGGGATTCTGCCCACCCCATGGGAGTGGCCCCCTGGACTTCCATCCTGACAGGTGGTCATCACTGTGCACATTGGGTAACAGCAGACACTGGTAAGAAGAGGCGATGTCTCACACACCCTAGGTCGTGGGCCTTCAAAGCAGAGAAGTGAGTGCGAGGCTCTGAGCTCCCCTGGGGGACTGTGCATCTGGACTGGGGGTGTGTGAGAGACATGGTTTCTCTCTCTGCTGCCTTCAGTGCACAGCTTCCATAATGACTTCCTACTGTGGGGACTGCCAGCCCTTTCCCCAGGGGGAGCACCTGGTTGCTAGATGAGTTTTTAAATACTTGTATTACCACTGGGTTTGGTACAAGATTTGGATACTTTTGGAGCTTCTGACTAACCTCACCAACTCTAAGATGGAAATCTCTCCACTTCTCAAGAGCTTTTTCTTTGACAGAAATTCATTCAGTAGCCATGATTACTTTGAATGAAATGGAAAGTCAGAAATCCCAAGTATCTAATCTAAATCTCTCTTGCTGTGGTACAGAGTGGCTCTCAACCCGGGCTGCACATTTACATCACCCACGCTGCTTTGCAGAAGCAGTAGAGCCGAGGCTGCAGTCCCAGTTCTTCTGATTTAATTGGTCTGGGGTGGGTGGGGGCATCTCAATGACAACTTTACCAGGTGACAAGAACAGGCAGCCAGGGTGAGGACCACAGCTCAGTGCACGTCTGTAACTTGAGCATGAACCCGAGTGCCTTGGAGGAGCTATTAAAACAGGTTTCTGGTTGTTAAGTTGGAAGGATGGGGCCTGATCATTTATTTTTCTAACAAGTTCCCGGGTGATATGGATGGTGCTGGTCCGGGAACCACACTTTAAGAACCACTGCTCCAATATGGCCTAATTTTTTCCCCATCTTCAGTATTCCCTGGAAATAAAAGAACAGTTGGGCTCATCCTCAGGCCTTTACCTTTCTAATTGAAGAGCCCTTTCCAGTCTATAAAACCTACCATCTTGCAATATGGCATTTAATAAACCGTAAAATGGCAGAATCTTCAAGCCCATTCATTTGTGCTCCTGCATTCATTTTCATGCGGCAGCGGGGACATGGCCTGTGCAAAGATCTGGCTTTGAGAATCCAGACCGTTGGATGTGCCGTTTGGTTTCTACAGGCACCAACTTCTCAAAATCTGAAATTAGGAAGAAAAATAAAAAAGCCTCCCAGGGTGAATGTCCTGGAATTGTTTTTTCTGGTTATTAGAATCCTCTCTGCTGACAACAGCATAGCCATCCATTGTTTAGTGGTTCTTTGTGGGCATCACGGAATAGCCATCTGCCCTCCCCAAGCATAGACTATGTCTGCCCGACGGAACCATTGCCCAGGGACAGACCGTGTGTGGAAAGTTCGCAATTGTAGTGCAGGATGCCAAGCTTCCTTTTGGGGGGTGTTGTGTGTTTGGGGGACGGGAAAGAATGCTTGTCTTCAATAGGTCGTCATTGTTCCAGGAGTTCCACCCCAGTGCAGCAGGCCTGGCATGTGGAAGCTGGTTCCCTGTTATTACTTTATTCATCGTAACCCTGGGTGGCATATGACTCAGGGCAGATGTCCGCCTTAGCCTGGGTGTCGGTGTTTTTTTAATGATGGTGTTAAATTTCCTCACTCAGCTGCGTGAGTTGCACTCAGCATAGGAAAGAGACAGGCTCGGGTGAAGGGTGAAAGGTCGGACTTCTGCCTCTAGTAACCCTCTTTCTCCCCTCCCCGGCCAAGTTTAGTTGTCAACTTCCGTTGCTTTGAAAGGCAGTTTCCCACTGGCTTCGTTCTGTGCCTGGCCATCTGCTGAGTCACTCATAAAATTTAATTTTGCGCCAGACCAGGAGAGAGTTGGTTTTCCCTCTTAAAACAGGCTTTTTGTTTTTATGTGTCATCCCTCGGAAGGAAAAGAGAGTCCTTGTTTGTACCCTGCCTGCCAGTCACACAGCGGGGAAAGATGGCCCCAGATTCTGAAGAGAAGGAGGTGGTTGTACAAGTATTTGCATCGTGGATGTCATAGAGAATGCACAACGTCTGCTCTAAAAAAATAAACCCTTGGAGTCCATGGACTAGACCTGTGGGTCTTACCAAGGCATCTTTCAGTCCTGACTGGTATGGGGGAATCTCATACTTGGACTCATCAGCTTAGTGATGGAGAACCTTTTGAGCTCGGCCTGTCAGCATTTTGAAAAACCCTAACTTAACTCTGGTGCCGTGTCACATAGAAATTTTTTGATATTTGCAACCATAGTAAAACAAAGACTTATATTTTTGATATTTATTTTATATATTTAAATGCCATTTCACAAAGAAAAATCAACCAAAAAAATGAGTTCGCATGTCACCTCTGACACGCGTGTCATAGGTTCGCCATTAGACACATAGAGCTTTCGCCTCTGCATGTTCTCTTGCTTGGAATGTCCTCCCCAGCTCCCATTCTTTCTGGGCAAGTAAGATGCTAAACTCCTTTTAACTTCAGCTCAAATAATGCTTCCCTTCTGAAAGCTTCTCCATTCCACATCCTCTTCCTCTCACTCCCCTCCAACCCCCACCACCCCACACCCCTGGCAGGTTTCAGGACTTCCTTCTCTGGGTTGTCAAACCATGTGTTCAGACTGATATTAGAGCACCGGCTGCTTTGTCACACTTCCCTGTGTGTCCCTTGCCAGGCCTTGAGCGCAGAGGCTCAGAGAGCAAATCTCACTAGCTGCCTTCTCAGAGCTTATACTTCCAGCCTAGCCTCATACTAATCCCCCTTTCCTCTCCATCCTCCTGCTCCGTTAACATTCTCACAATCCCTCACCTGCCCAGCACTCCCTCACCTGTGGGCTGTGTGGGTGCTGTTGGCACTGCCAGAATGCATCCCATCTCTTGTGGTCCCAGGAACAGCTTATGCCTGCTCCGTGTAGCATCTGTGTGTCATCTTCTGTGACTTACTTGCCTGTGGAACCAGGAGCCTCTGATGAGAGAGGTCTACCAATCTGCCCTGGAGCTCTGCCCTCCCCTCCCCACCCCTCCAACGGTGGCTGCACAAAACTATCTGTTGAAGGAATGAATAAGTATGAGTTTCCCAGATCAATAGCAGGCCCTTGGGTCTTCGGCTCTGAGTCTAAGGGGCTATATGCCTTTTCCTCCTTTTGCCTTCCTTGGATGTCGGGTACAGGGGGTTAAATGAACCACACTTAGTTTATGAC